TTCTTCAGTGGTAATAAACTCACATATAAAATCCATTAAACTTACCTTTCAATAGCAATTAATGATTTGTCATTTTTCAGAAAGCCTTCCAATACAATTTGCATTGTTTCAAATCAGCCTTATACTTTGATATAACTTGACTTTGTAATGATGCTTTTTGATCTCAGAGTGGCAATTACTTTTTTGATTGAGTACTATTTGCATTTGGCTCTTCTGGGTTTTATAATTTAACTGAGTAAGTAGCAAAAAAAAAAATAAAAGAAGATGATCATGGGTTGAATCAGGTGCACATTAGTCTCTTTAGTTAGTCCTTTGGAGAGGTTCTTGACAGCAGATTTCCTGCTTTCCTGGCTGATGCTACCAAGGATGTTAACTGTGGATCCAAGGAAGATGACATAATTGGTAACCTGAATCTTTTCTCCATTATGATATTGCCTATTGGTCCAGTGGTAAGGATTTTTGTTTTATTGTTAAATGTTACCGAAGCATTTCAAATCTTCTTCAATTTCAGCAAGCAAGGTGGACAGGTTTTAGCTGAGCTTCTAGATTAAGACAGACTAAGAAGTAGGATTGGCCACCTACTTCTGAAAACAGCAGGCTTCAAAAAACCTCTTGACTAAGGAAAGTCTTGAGTAGTTCACTCTGTTGCCTGACCTTTTCCTGCTTATCAATCACTCCACACTTTGCCTGAAAATTGAGCCATATCAGGCAAGTCCAGTTCCAATCCTATGAAAGTCAGGGTGTTTCTTCTAGCACCGGCAAGACCTGGGTCCACTGGGTATTCTTAATTTAGAGAAGGAGAGGGGCTCCCATGCTTCTATGTTTTCCACTTAATTCTCTGTTTCCTTACATACATTTGGCCTCAGCTAAAAACAGTGGCGTACCTTAGATGAAAAGTTTGATAAGCTAGTTTGTCTATTTCTCCCGTGATACACAGTAAGAGAATTAAGCATTACAAATTGGGCCTTGGGCATCTCGTAAACACAGCTCCTTGAACGTGCTTTGTGGATCCTTCAAGGCCTGGTCTTCATGATACCACAGTCTCCTCAGGGCTCATCAGGGAGGGGCCTGCAGACACAGCCTCTGTGAGTACATGTTCTCAAACTTTAACCCCTGAAGGGTTTTAAAAGACATTCCTGGACCACAGCCCCAGAGTTTCTGATCAATTAGGTCTAGAGTAAAGCCTGAGAGTACATTTCCAACCAGGTGCTGCCCATACTGTAGGCCTGAAGACTATCATTTCAGCGGGACTTGGACTATGGGGCATTAATATTACTCACAGGCTCATGTGACAATGCAGATTCCTAGGCAACGGAATTCCTGGAACCAGACATTCTGATTCTCTAGGTCTTGAAGGGGTCCCAGATCTTAACTCAGCAGCCGCTCAAGGAACCTCTGGAGATCCCTCTTGGAGAAGCACTGATTGGACCACTTACTAGCACTTGTAAATCAGAAGAGAGAGATACAGAGAGCGGAGATGATCTACACGGCCATGGCGCAAGTCAAAGTCAATGTCATTCTCCATGTTGCTTGGGCCCAACACTTTGCAGCATCCTGGGTTCTTGTCCTGCGGGATCCTTATTCAGACTTTCTTTAACCAACTCCAGCAAAGAAGCAAACAGGAGGGTAGTTAAAATAAGAAGACAAAAATGTGGGTAATTACTAAGACTGAGAGCTCATTTTATTATTCAAAATTCCAGGTATATTTGAATTTTCTTCATAATGAGAAAAATCTTGCAGCCATAATCTGGCAAATCCATTTCCAGGAATGTATCTTAAGGAAAACTGCAGACACAGGAAAAACTATCACAAATAAAATATTTTTTTTATTAGTTACTCATCATAGTAAAAATTGAGAAAACACTAAAAAAGATAATAATACAAAATGGATCAACCAGGGGACACCACTTAAAAGGAATTTTATATCATTAAAAATGTTTATTCAAGCTATGTATTAATATGAAAAAATATATTATCGAGTGGGGGAAAAAAACAGGGCCCTAAACTGTATATGCTGCATGACTGAAACAATGCAGAGACTTTAAAATACCAGAAATGAAAATCGATTTTCTACATCCACAATCTCTGAGAAAGTCTCAACTGCTCCCTCTGCTCTGCCCCTCCTCCCTTCTACCTTCTCCACGTGGCAGCCAAAGTCCTCCTGGGTTCCAAGTCCTACAGAGGCTTCCCATCTCTCTCTGATCAGAAGCCAAGTCCCCACGGGCTACAGGCTAGGCCACCCCGCTCGCCTGATCTACCACTCTGTTCCTGGCCGGACTCCTGTCACTCCAGCTGTGCTGGCCTGCTCCTTCCTCTTCATGCGCACTCCAGCTGCAAGCAGGGCCTTTGCACTGCCTCTCGTCCTCCCTCTCCAGACATGTGGAGGGGTGTGCTCCTTTAAGAGGCCCTGTCTGAGGTGCCCTATCTCAAAGAGCACCACCCTCCCACCCATAGCCTTTCTTTTCTCCACAGGACTTATCAGTGAGTCCCAGGGTACATTTGTTTGCCTTCCACTTACTAGAATGCCAGTTCCTCAAGAGCAAAGGCTTTATCTGTCTCATTCTAAGTATCCACAGCACGTAGTCCAGGGCCCTCCACATAGTAGGTAGTTAATAAATACCTGTTGAGAAAGATTGTGGAACTAAATAACTAGCTCTGGCAATGGTGACCTTCGCACGGCTTTGTTTCTCGGGGGACCTATCCCTCCAGGAGGGGCAAGCTATAGCAGGTGCCCAATGGAAAAAAGGTCCTTTTCCCAATAAAGTGCATTCTGTGAGGTGGAGGCAGTAGATTGTGGTGGCTTTGGGGGTTCAAGCCTGGTTTACCATCAATGGGGCAGCCTTGGGTGTATTACGCAGGACCTCTGAACACTAATTGCTTCCCTGGATTGAAGTCCCAAAGCACTCAGCGAGGCCTGAGGAAAGCCGCACTGGCAGTCAGACCCATCACTTTGAAGTTTACAATGCCTTGTATATTATTTCCTTTATCTCAGCTAAGCCTTTCAATAGCCCTATCGGTTTTATCATCACTTTATATGTTAGGAAACTGCGTCGATGAGGGGTAAAGTACAAGCACACAGACCACAACAGAAACCGACGAGGCATGTGGTGCCCTTTCCTTCAGACACACTGCTGCTGCTAATCGGGGTGACCTGGACGGCCGGCCCAGCAGGGCCTCGCCCTCTAAGGTGTGGGCCGAGTGTGAAGCTGCAGACAGTAAACGGAGCAGGCCAGCGAGTCCACCTCTCACTCCCCGTGGACAGCAGGAGAATACTGGCTCCCGTGTCTATAGCCATCTCTCTCTACCAATGGGGCTTGTGAGCAAGTCCGGACAGGTAAGCCATTGCTCCAAGGCCTTCCAGGATTGAAAACACTTAATACAGTCCTTTCTGTGGTTTCTCCCACCTATAGCTGGACAGTAGTCCTAAGCAGCAAAGGCCCCCTCTAGTGTTTGAGTCCTCCAGCACCCTGCGACCTTTGACTGTGCCTGGACTACTGGCCTGGCTCACCTCACAGCAGCCTCCTTCAATCTGGCATTGAAAGACAAGGGAGGTTCTAAGCGATCACAGGGAACTGGTGTGGAAATTTAGAATCAGAGAGTCAAAAAGCCATGTTTTTGGGAGTCATGGACTATTAACACTGCAGCCTTCAGGAGGTAAACTTAGCCATTGTAATATCTTAAACCTCAAAATAGAGATTACACTGAATGGAAAGAGGGGAAAAGTGCCTCTAATACAAACTGCAAGTTCTCTAAATTCTCTCCACATGCTCTATCTGGTTAGAAACGTGGGTGGCACTTGCTTGGGAGAATACAGTTCAGGGCCTCTGTTCTAGGAGGAGACCGGGCTTTGGACACCATCCTAATGGATAAGTGCTACCAACCAGGTCCCTTGGGGCTGGAGATCAGGAGGAGAGTGGGCAGTCTGCAGAAACAGCCTACCAGGCCAGCAGGCCTCAGCTCCCAGTGAAGACGTTCTGAGGCCCCGGTGGTGTCAGGCTTGCGGCAGGCATCCAACCACCCAAAGCTTTTGGCTGATGGCAATGCCCAGACCGTCCAATGTGATGCCACGTGCTCCTTGTCTGAACATGCTGTGTGAGCAGCACGTGGCTGTCTGCAGAGCACCACATGACACAGTGGCTTATAGAGTACTCTTGCACAGTGTTTATGATAGAAGGTGGTGTTCATGCTCCAACCCCAGACAAGGCCTGGGAAGCGGGGGGGATGTCAGTGGCTTTGGCCAGGCATTGAGGAGAGGCCTCTAGGCCGTTCTGCAGACCACCTGGAAGAGCAGTCAATACACCAACTCTGGCCGCATCTACATGCTGTTAAGGTCACTTTAGGTGCCTGTACTAGTAGATTGCACTGACTATGCTTTTTAAGTCACTGCTTTGTGTTTTGTTGTTTTTTTTAGAGACACTCTTATGACATAGTTCATAGGGAGTTGCAAGGCTAACCTAAAGGCCATGCCTCTGCTGGTTCTAATCTACCAGCAGCTCCGTAGGAGAAAGGACACCTCCTCCTCTATGACTGACAGCCTTGGACACCCAATGGAGGGTCAGCTGAGTCGGTGCAGACTCGACGGTAATGGGAGTTTTTAAAAAATGAGGGAGAGTTCTAGAGTAGTCATGCTCTTGTATGAAAATGATACAAATCTCTCTGTATAAAAACTCTGAAGAGATGAAGAGAGTACATCATCCCACATGGCTCAGAGCAAGGTGGACCCAATGGTAGAGTTGGCCCGCTCTGCTCATGTGAGAATTCCCAGAGAAACAGCAGGAAGCACATGGGAAAGGGAGAGGCTCTGATCCTCAGCAGCTCAGTTCAGAGGTCCTGGGCCCTGAGAGACAGGCCTCTGCCCTCTCCAGGATGACCCTGGTACCTTGCCACCTGGCAAATGGGCAGAGGAGCTTGTGCCCTTTCGGATCAATCCCGGGAGCACCTCTGGCTGCCATGGCTGGCTGCAGGGCCCTACTCAGAATGGTGATGTGCCCCAGCCCGAATCAGAACTCGTCCCGCAGCTGAGGAGGCTGGTCCATGCCAAAGAACGAGGATGGCCGCCCGTGGAGGTCCCGCTCCCGCTTCACGAAGGCGGTGAAGGAGGAGACACAGTTGCCAATGAAGTGGTCGGCTTGGCCAAGGATGTACAGGTCGATCTGGGCCACCTCAGGCCTCAGGCTTACCACCTTCACCTATAGGAGGAAGAGCAGAGCGGATCAGCCAAGGTGACCAGCTCTGGCATCTCGTCCACAGCTGACCCTTCTTTCCTTGAGCTGACATTAGACTCAGAAAGAGGAGTAGAGGGTGAAGGTGTATGTATGGGAGGTGCTGCCCATGCCCGTGTGGAACCCTGGCCCCTGCACTTTACCCCATCTCTAAATGCATCATTCATTCACTTCTGTGCTGTGCTTGTACTGTTCTTTCTGTACCTGGGATGCCTTCTCTCCATTCATTAAAATCCCTATCCTACTTACAGGTCTACCTTTATCATAAAGCCTTAGCTTGATGGGTTCCCTCCCCCAAAATCTCTGATTTGACCCAATAGTGCCCCAATCCGTGCAGTTCTGCAGCCTGGATGCCTCCTTCCTCCCCCACAACCCCCACCTTCAAGCCCTGTCCACTCAACGCAAAGAGAACAGTTCTCAGTGTCCTTGGCTTCACGGAGGAACAAGGCTGAGAACAGAGGCATGGGAACAGGAAATAGAAAACAGTAAGTGGCTCCAAGTGTCACAAATACATCAACTCTGTAAACTCACACGCACAGAAAACTCCCTGGGACTGTCCAGGTGATTTACCTTAGTACAGAGGTGGGGCTGTGTGGGCAGAGCTGGGGCTCAAAGAGCTCTGCTGTCACACCGAGATTTCTAATAGAATGAAAACCGTCATCACGTCAACCAGAATGCAGCAAAGGAACACTAGTTCAACCGTGGCCAAAATCCCCCAAACAATTCCACTCACTCCCTGAAACTTACCCGTTGTTTCACACCCACTATAATCAGCTCTGGAACCACAAGGGGTAAAAATCCTATCCCTTCCCAGGGTTTTGGTCTCCTCAGCTAGAAAATGCATGCAGGGGTTGGGTTTGAGGACCCCTCCACAAGGACTCTCCCAGTTTTGAGATTCTATCTATAAAATAAGTGGGAGACCAGAACACACTGACTCACTCACCACTTCCTCTATAAACTGGGGCAAGAGAAAGGAAACCCCGAGACATAAAGCAAGGGCACCCACTACTGGTGTGAGCCTGTCTGTTACGGTCTCTATGCGCATTAGGGAGCTCTGATGGCCTAGTGGCAAGATGCTGAGCTTCAATCCTTAAGGCGTATGGTTCGAATCCACAGCTGCCCTGTGGGAGAAGGAGGGCAATCTCCTCCCGTGTGATTTACTGCCTTGGAAAACCTGCTGCGGGGGCTGCTGTGGGTCGATTCCAGCCTGATGGTATAGAACAGCAACATTATCACGTGCATTTCTTCATTTAACAAGGAGCTCGGGTGGCATTCGACTTAACGAGGAGCTCGGTGTGTTACGTGTGTGACGCTAATCAAAAGTCAGCAGTCTGACTCCATCAGCTGCTCTGCAGCAGAAAGGTGGGCAGGCTCTTCCTGTCACGATTTACAGCCTCAGAAACCCCACAGCCAGCCGCTCTGAGGCAGAACTGACTCAACAGCATTGGATATGAGCACTTGATTATTCATTTAACAAAGTCTTAGTGATGCTTATTAAATCAGCCAATCTATCCACATGTACTCTTCACCCATCTTCATATGTCCTTATTATGTGTCTTCACTCATACAACAAGCATCTGCCAAGCCCATTTTACTATGTATTTACACACTGAATACCTATTATTTTGTTTCTCCAACTTCACAGGGTTTCTGGAGGCCAGCTATTTCAGAAGTGGATGCCACTCGTGCTTCCAAACTTGTTTTAATTGTGGAGCTCCACCAAACACTGTTCACCATGAGTAACTGTTACCGCATTTGGTACATCAGTGTCACAGTGTTTAGCACGACATCAACCATGAGTTACCTCTGTACAGCAACGCACAGAGCAGTGCTATACCACTTAAAAGAATGTCTGACAAAAACCAAAACCAGGTCTGAGGGCCACAGATTAAAATCACCCACCTTTGGCTTGGTAGCATCATTTCTGTCCACTAGACCCAATGACTCGATGGCACTTAACAACAAGAACAACCTATTATTTACAGATTGTTGAAGTATCTGGGAAGCACAAAAGTGTCCCACATTTATTCTTCAAGTCCCTGCTTCTTTTACTGACGACAATCCACTAAATGCCCTGCCATCCAGTCGCTTCTCCCTTTCGATTAGCATCAATACGTTACACACTTCATTACCAGGCTTCCTTTCCTTATGCCAGTTAACTTTATCACACTTTCTCAACAGCTAACTCCGTACCGAGAATTGCCTTCATTCAGCTACCCGAGTGCTATAACTACCATGAGGAAGGTGCTATTTTCAGTCCCATCTTATAGATGACGAAATGGAGCACAGAGAGGTGAAGTAACTTGTGCAAAGTTGCAGAGTGCTCATAAAGCTCAAGCTCTCCGGCTCCAGACTCCATGCTCTTCAGCTGTACTGAATTGCTACGAAGGGCCCACCTTTATGTCCTGTCTCATCACACATTTAATGATCGGTCACCTTGTGTGAGGCACCAAGGGGGTCTTGCCCTCAGGGAGGCCAAAGGATTGGATTAGACGCTGAGGAATTTGGCTGTGATTCAGCTTTGGATCTTGCCTTTGAGAAGCTCACGAATCCTAGGAAGAAGTAAGATGTGTTCCTACATGCTGTGAGAGCTCACAGCACACACACATCAACTCCACGAGCGGAGGGAGATATGCAGAGACGGGGTTGGGGGGGAAAAAAAACTGCAGGCAGAGAGACTGTCCGACCAAAGGAAATGGTCCAGGCCAAAGTCCAGTGATGGGCTAACGTGAAGCATGTAGTAGTGAGAGCAGTGGGGCCACCTTGCTGTGCTCCCACCTCCTGTTCTTACTCGTACCTTCCCCGAGAAGATCTGCTGGATCTCAGGCACATAGCTCTCGGAATCCGTGGCGATGTAGACTGACTGGGCATTCAGGGTCCTCACCCAGAGCTTCACGGCCCGTAGGATCTCCTTCAGGTCAGGGAGGCACATGGTCATGGTGAGTGGGGCAGCAGTACTGCGGCTGTAGCCTACACACTGCGGTGAGGCCATGAAGTGGGGACCCGCGGTTCCGTCCTTCAGCATGGTGCAGGCATTCTTCTGTGGGAGCACAGAGACAGGGATGGGGTTAAAGGCAGATCAACCACCCTCAAAAACCCAACAAGATCTGCTGTTACGTGCTGTCTAGTTGGAATCAACCCATAGCTGACCCTCCAGTGGGTTTTCTGATGTAGTAAATCTCACGGGAGGAGATTGCTTATCCTTCTCCCATGGAGCAGCTGGTGGATTTGAACATAATGCCTTTGGGTTCTACAGCACAGCTTCTTACCACTAGGCCACCAGAGCTTCCTAGAGAACTGGTAAGGGGGTGGGAGAAGCCAGGTTATTCAGGGCAGGACATAAAAAGTTTTGGAGTGTCTTTTTTTCAAAAAAAGAAAAAAGACACTGGAGGGAGAAAGAACAGCATTAAAAAAGGGACAGTGGTTATTTCTGGATATTAGGATCTTGTTTACATTTCTTGCTGTTGTTGAGAATACTGTTGTTCTGTGTCCGAGTCAGCTACGACTCAGAGTGACTCTATGAACAGCAGATTAGAGCCTGGCCCTAACCTGCTCCATCCTGTTATCTTAGTATTTCAGTCACTGTGTCAATGCATCTTGTGGAAGGTCATCCTCAGTGAGAAAACACACACAGCAAAATACATTAATTCAACAGTTTGGACATGTACAATTAGTGACACTGATTCTATTCTCCAAGTTGTATAAACATTCTCACCTTCCTTTCCTGTTCCTCCTTGATAAAAGCATAAAGTCACTGCCCGCTTAGGTTCCTGGTGAATCTCTCAAGCTGCTGTTGTAACTTTGCTTCCAAATAGTTCTTGGAAGAGTTTAACACAGATCTTGTTTACTAGTAAAGCTAAACTGCTCTCTGTGGTTTTAAGAAGACTTTAGTGGACATTTTTTTGGTTTAAGGTTTAAAGACGATGTCAGGGCAACAATTTGAGGGGTTCAGGACAATAATGTGAGGGGCTCATTCAATCATCCATTGCTCAGAGTCCATGAAAATGTGAAATTCTGTTCTGCCATAGAATCTTTTATCAAAATATTCAGTATGGAGAGCCGAAAGAGGGACAGGCTGTTCTTTTAGTCTCATGGCACAAGAGGCATTTGCTCATAGAGGCAATTAACCACACACTCCATATCCTCTTCCTAACTCTCTTCCTTCATGCTGTTCCAAGTGATAGACACCAACAGTTGTGCCTTGGATTGCTGCCTGCAAGCGTTTAAGACCCCGAGAACTATGCTGTGCTGCCGTCTCTTACACATCATACCAGGAGGTAGAAAAGTAGCCCTAAACATGCCATTAGGCTAATAAGCAATGAAACCATGACCCTACACCACCAATTCAAGGAATGAAACACGATGAGGTGTGTTGTTGTGCTTAAGTAGACTCAGCAGCTACATTTGTGTTATTATTAGAAATAATGGTATCTTACAACTTTGGACAATTCCATTTTTCCAGGTGTACGACTTCCTGACTGAAATGACAGTAAATAGCTGTACAATCGTTTTCTTAAGTAATTAATGTGATTTCCCCATCACCATTAGCCCTCCTTCTCACTGCTAACAAACTTTGTCTCTACGCATTGTCTTTTTATATAAGTGAGATCGTATATAATGTTTACCCTGCTGGGACTGACATATTTCACTTTGGTAGAATATGTTCAAGCTCCAACCACAGTGGAGCATGTATTAAGAAGTCATTTCTGGGGGGTGCTGTATTAATCATAGTGTTGTACAGTTCGACGGGTGGGGGAGTGTGTGAAGGAAATGAGAAGGATCTTGTGTGAAAAACAGTGTATTAGAACTTTGTAAATAAATCTGTATATAAAAAAAGTTGTCATTTCTCTTACTGGTTGAATAGTATTCCACTCTATATCTACCACATTTTACTTATACATTCATGTGTTGATGAGCATTTAGGTTGTTTTCACTTTCGGGCAACTGTGAATAGTGTTACCAGGACCACTGGTATATAAGACTCTTTCTGAGTCTTAGCTTTCAATTTTTTTTTTTGGTAAATATCTAGGGATGAAATTATTGGATCATATGGTAGTTTGGTTTTTAGCTCTTTGCGGAATCTCCACACTATGTTCCACAGCAGCTGTACTTTTTAGCATTCTTACCAACAATGAATAAGGGTTGACATTTCTCTGCACCCTAACCAATATTTGTTATTTTCTAGGAGATTTTTTGGTTTTGTGTTGGTGGGGTTTTTAATTTATATAGTTAAAGACAGGAAAAGTTTATTAAGACAGAGGAAAGTTTATTAAGATAGAGAAACACTTTCAGAAAGAGAGTGGGCCCATCTCAGGAGTAGAGAGATGAGAAAAACCTGGGTTTTTCTGGTTTTAACCCTAGCCATTGTACGGGAGTAATGGTATTTCATTGTGGTTTTGATTTTGATGGCTAACAACACTGAGCAACTTGTGTGTTTTGTAGCCATTTCAATGTCCATTTTGGCAGAACGTCTATTCAAACTCTATTTTATGACTGGCTTATTTGTCCTTTTTTTTTGTCAAAGTGTGTGTGTGTCTATATATATATATATATATATATATATATATATATATATAGACACACACACATAATATTCTAGCCATATATATATGGTTTCCAAAGATGAGACACTGTTTTTATAAAATTTCTCAGGCATATCACATTATCTGGGAGCTCCAGCAGAATTCTGAACGGTATTAATGGGCAGCCGTATCTGATTCCTGCCTTCTCAAAGCTTGATGTTTACTGTGAGTTTCAGAGAGATAGCCTTTATCAGGTTAAGGTGGGGCCCTTCTATTCCTAGTTGGTTATGAGTCCGTATCATGAATGGGTGTTGACATTTATCAAATGCTTTCTTGGCCTCTGTTGAAATGATCATATGATTTCCTCCCACCTTTGGGTGTTAATAGTAAATTACATGGCCTTCTTGAGATAAATTTTGCTTGTTCCTGTTGTATTTTATATGCTAATATTCTACTTCAGGCCCATGCATCTATGCTCTTAAGTAAGTGTAGGTGATAATCCTTTGAGCTCACCATATTCAAATCTGGTAACAGTGTTAAGATACAGACATAGAGAGGGAGGAAATGGTGAACATCTGCATCTTTCATGTCCTAGGAAAGCAGATGGGAATTATTTATTGCTTGAAGGTTTGGTGGAAACCGTCCACAAAATAAAACAAGTCTGGGGTGGTGGTGGTGGTGGGGGTGTGTGTGTGTGTGTGTGTGTGTGTGTGTGTGTAAGGGAGGCAGGGAAGGAGCCTAATGAATAAATATGTGATCACTTCTTCAATTGACTATGAGCACATTTTAATTTTCTTTTTCTACTTTTCAGCATTTTTCGAGTTTTCAACAGTGAACATTTCTAAAATGCTTGCGCATGTGTGTGTGTGCACAGACACATACACACACCACTCCACGCAAAGCCCTTTGTATAAACTGGGGAGACCGGCTATATGAATCCTGCCCGTTTTCACAAGGAGGATAACTTGACAAAGTGTCTGCACGTTTAAGCAGCCAACAAATTCTGGAAGGATGACATCTTTGTTTCTTAGAAGTCCCACCCAATTTCCAATAGGTTTTCTTTCAATAAAGAAGCTATTGGCTAAACACTGGGCGAGGCCTCCTGGGCTGTGGCTTTTTCCCTGGATTGCTATCTGACATGGGATCTAGCCTTACGCCTCAGTTTATCCATCTGCAAAATGAGGATAAATATGGCAACTATGGAAACAGGGGCTGACAAGCAAGCACTAAGGGTGTACATACTGGCACCTGTTGAAGTGGGATCATAGGGCACACAAGCCCAGGGATCTGGCTGAGAAGAGCTTTCCTTGTCCTGGCTGGGACCATGCGCTGTGTTCAGTTCTCTGAGGCTCGGCCCTGCTCTGGGATATGTCACAGCCATGAGGAGCGGGGAGTTACCCAGTCAGAGCCGATGCGCAGATGAATGCCCACGTAGGGGCGGATGAGGTGGGTATGGATCTGGGCCCCTCCGGTCTTCACCATCTCCTCTGACCACACCATGTACTTCTGGAGCGGCCTGTGTTCCTCCAGAACAGGAAACTGGGCCGGGGCTCCTGGCAGGGCTAGAACTGGATGCTCCTTTGGGGGAAATCTAGGCATGAGATAGAATAAGGTGATGTCAGAGAGAGGATGCACAGAGAGCCAGGCTGCTCCCACCTCCTCCCCAGGAAAATGAACGGTGTTGCTCCATGCCCCAGAGACCCTGAGGAGAGGCCCTTAGATATGCAAGAAACACGAGACATTGTGAAATCTCAACAGCCTGATAAGAAACTGTGGGGACTCCTGTGACGGGGCACAATATGCAATCTCGTCCCGCCGCACGGAATTTACAACTCTTTGCTTGTTTAACAATTAAAAATTTACAGTAGAGCCTTCCAACCTTTTGTATGTCCTGCTGGCTCCCGATCTGTGGTGTGGTAATCTGCTCCAGGGTGGGGTGTCTGGACAGGTTTTTGCCCTTTTACCCAAATGGCAGGGCTGGGCCATGCAGCTGCTTACAAAGGACAGTGGAGGGGTACCAGGAAGAGTGTAGACTGGGTTATACCATCCATTTGACCCAGTTACCAACTGTGTACTATGTGATAGGTCAGGGACAATGAGCCAGGCATGACCGCTGCGCTCATGGATGTACCAGCAACCTACAGAAGCCCCTCTTTCAGCCTCCGGTGGGGCTCTCCTTCCCCTTTCACACACTGCATTTTTGGAATCATGGCTTCTGTGCCTTTCCTGCCTGGTTCAGACCCCTGAAGGCAGTGACTTTGTGTGCTGAGGACCGTGGGTGGAACGTGTAAGCGCTCCATAAGTATCTGTTCACTGACTGAATAAGGAGCAAACCTGGGTTCCCCTACCCAGCTCATCCACCCCGGAAACACAAATAACTTGTCATTCCACGAACATGCAAATGCACTCCCAAACTCCAGATCTCTTCTTAAAACACCTTCCCCCTGCCAGGAAAAATCCTTCTCTTACAAGTATGACATATGGACAGCCACTGTGGGAAACATTTGGCAATTTCTTATAAAATGAAGCCAGACCAGAGATTACACTATGACCTAGCAATTACACTACAGGGCATTTAGAAAACCTTATAACCTCATTGCTGGCAAGTCAGTCCTGACTCAGAGCGGCCCTCCAGCCGGTTTCCAGGACTGTGAATGTTGATGGGAAGAGACTGCCAGCCTTCCTCCCTCAGGGCTGCTGGTGGATTCTGACCTCTGGAGAGGCAGCCACAGGTTTTCACGGCCCTGCAGGTGACCCGCCAGAGCTTCTTGGGGTCAGAAAAAGGAAAAGTTATGTTCATACAAAAAAAGCAAAAACAAACAACCCAAAAAACACAACCCCTAAAAAAACAACTCTTGTATGGGGATGCTGACAATAGCGTCGTTTGTAAACAGAGAACTATTTAAACTGGAAATAGCTCAGATGTTCTTCACCAAGCAAAGAATTAAATAGTGGCACATCCCTGAGGTCAAATTCTACTTAGCAATAAAAAAAGGAATGAAATATTGATGCGCACAACAGCCTGGACGGATCACAAGGGAATTATGCTGAGTGAAGAGAGTCAATCACCACACGAGGTGACACAGGATATGATCGCTTTCCCAACAGAAATGAAGCAGAGTGTCACAGCAGCCAGGGTCGAGGGGTGAGCAGGGGGCTGTGCAGGCGTGCACACAGAATTCCTCGTGATGGAAGACCGCTCAGTAGCTTGGAGCAATGAACACGCGTGTGTCACACCTCTCTGGAGGTTCAAACCCATCAAAGAAAGATGCTTCTTGACAGATATAGGCAATCTCCTCCTGGTCAGTTTGTTGTTGTTGATTGCCGTTGAGTTGAGCACGACGCATAGCAACACTATGAACAAAAAGCCTTTCTATAACTATTGTTTCTCAAAGTTCATAGAGTTTCTAGAGGCATGTTGTTTAGGTCTATTTACAGCCTTGGAAAGCCAGAGGGTCAGCTATGAGTTGGTTCCAACTCAATGCCAATGAGAGAATTTTCCTATGTGTCTTAAGATTGTACAGAACTGAATACATGCACGCACAAATAAATACAGATTTTGTTAGGTGCCCCTGAATTGAGTATGACTCATAGTGGCCCTATGAACCCTGTCCTATCCCGTGGCATCCTCACAATCTCTGACACATCGAAGCCCCTTGCTGCAGTCACACTGTCAGTCCACTTGGTTGAAGGTCTTCCCCTATGTGGCCATCCCTCCACCCTTCCCTCTCTAAGGAATAGCCTCTCCTAGCAACCTGCCCGAAGTATGTAAGATGAGGTTTTATCATCTTTGCCTCCAAGGAGCATTCTTTTTGCTGCACCATCTCCAAACAAGACTGGAGAAATCAGAACATGCCAGGTGGGGTGGTATGGACCAGTGGACATATTCTGGCTGCGATACTGTATTGTAATTTACAGACTGCTACCATTGGGGGGAACTGAGCAAAAGGTACACAGCAGCTCTGAGTTATTTTGTGCAACTGCATGTGTATCTAAAATGATCTCAAGAATAATTTCAATTAAACACTAAGAAATCATGTAGGAAAATAATAAAGTCATTTAACTCACACAATTGTGAGCCAAATACAGGTACTAACTATTTGTTTCATTTCTCAGATTTTTCTGAAGATCTCACTCATTGCCTTTGGGTCAGACCCGCCTCATCAATGACCCTCTTGCAGATTTTTGGAGGCTGGTAATCACTCAAGTGTGTCAGAGATGATGAGGATGGCACAGGATAGGGCTAGGGTAGGGATTCAGGGTGGCTGTTTGTAAGACTACTCGGAGTCATCCTCGACTCAACGGCACCTAACAACAACAACAACAATAACATCAATCGCACAAGAGATAGCTCAGCTTTCTCCCAAGGAGCTGCTGGTGGAGTCGAACCACCAG